CCTAGTTCTGGCACAGCTGTTCTTGAAAAAAGAGCAGTCTCTGTCGGAGCTCTCTCAGCCCCGCCTACCTCACAGGGTGTCTGTTGTGGGGAGGGGGAGGAAAAGGGGTTTGTAAGCCGCTCTGAGACACCTTCGGGTAGTGAAGGGCGGGGTATAACTCCAATCTCTTCTCTCTTCTTTTACCTCACAAGGTGTCTGTTGTGGGGAGGGGAAGGGAAAGGAGATTGTAAACCACTCTGAAACACCTTTGGGTAATGAAGGGCAGGGTATAAATCCAATCTCTTCTTCTTCTTTTACCTCACAGGGTGTCTGTTGTGGGGAGGGGAAGGGAAAGGGGTTTGTAAGCGGCTCTGAGACTCCCTTGGGTAGTGAAGGACGGGGATATAAATCCAATCTCTTCTTCTGATCTAGTTATTTCTGGAATCATAAAAAATTAGACGGCAAGGATCCCTGACTTAGATGGGCTGGGCTAGCCCAAGCTAACCAGAGCTCGGAAGCTAAGCCAGGCTGGCCGGCCCTGATGAATATTTGGACCGGAGACCACCGAGGAAGTCCAGGGTTGCTAGGCAGAGGCAGGCCACGACGAACCACCTCTGTTTGTCTCTTGCCTCGACCTGGATGGCCCAGGGTAACCCGATCTCGTCAGATCTTGGGAGCTGTGCAGCGTCAGCCCTGGATAATATTTGAATGGGAGACCGCCAAGGAAGTCCAGGTTTGCTACGCAGAGGCAGGCAAGGGCCAACCACCTCTGTTCCTGTGTTGCCTTGACAACCCTTCGGGGTCACCATAAGTCGGCCGCGATGACGGCACTTTCCACCACCAGACCACCAGGACCCGGCAGTAAAAGCTTTGGAACGTGTGCCATTTTTTTGAAGCCGCATTGAAATCTGTAGGGAGGTCTGTTGTATCGTAACCCTGTTTTCTTCATTCTGAATGTCTAGGAATTGATGAGCTTAAACACAAAGACCCCCGAGGAGCGGCTGACACCTTCCAGCCGGCAGGTATGGCTTTGAGGAGAGCTGGCCGCGTCTCCCCCAGAAACCGGGGATCCGTTTTGCAAGGGTTAATCGGAGTTGTTTTCGATTTCAAAACGTTGGAATCCAGAAATAATAAACAGTTGCTGTAGAGGCGTGGGGGGGGGGCTCTCCATGTCATGCAGTGCAGGGACTTGCGGTCGGGGGGGGGATCAGAGATGTGGGGAGGGGGCGTGGCTCAGTGGGAGAGCCTCCGCTTGGCATGCAGAAGGTCCCAGGTTCAATCCCTCAGCATCTCCAGGGAAAAAGCATCCGATGGCAGGTGATGTGAAAGACCTTAGCCTGAGACCCAGGAGAAACTCAGTCGAGTAGACCATACTGACACTGATAGTCTCCACCCATGAAACTACCTTATGCCGAATCAAACCCTTGGTCCATCAAGGCCAGTATTGTCTACTCTGACTGGCAGCAGCCCTCCAGGGTCTCGGGCAGAGGAATTTCACATCACCTCCTACCTAGTCATTTTAACTGGAGATGCTGGGGATTGAACCTGGGACCTTCCCGCACGCCAAGCAGAGGCTCTACCCCTGAGCCACAGCCCTTCTGTATAAGGCAGTTTAAGATTTACGACTAACTACGAAGAAAATATTTATAAGGTATACCACAGGTGGTATTGGTCACCAGACAGGATAGCGAAATGTCACCCGTTAACATCTAAATTGTGTTGGAAATGTAATAAAAATATAGGAACATATTTCCACATGTGGTGGAGATGTGAGAGAGTAGAAAAGTATTGGAAAATGATACAAAAGCTTATTACAGATATCACAAAGTTAAAAATGGTGTTAACTCCAGAAATCGCCGTATTAAATATGATACCAGAGGGTTATAAACAAAATGATAAATACCTAATAACTTATGTAGTGACCACAGCCAGAATATTAATGGCCAAATATTGGAAAACAAGAGAGATTCCCAAGAAGGGAGGAAATAATAGCTAAGTTGATGGAAGTAGCAGAAACGAATAAGCGAACGATAAGCCTTCAAGGAAAAGATGGAAGTGTGTTTAGGAAAAGATGGGAAAGATTGTATAAATGGATTTATGAAACATGGGGAATTTAGATTTAATGTATAAGAGAATGAGTGTATATAATTGTGAAGATGACTCATGATATGGGAAGATTGTAAATATGTAAATAACAACGTATTGTGAAAAGGATAAATAAAAAATTTTTAAAAAAAGATTTACAACCCCTGGCCTGGCTAGCCGGATCTCATCTCATCTCGGAAGCTAAGCATTGTAGGCCCTGGTTAGTACTTGGATGAGAGACCACCAGGGAAACTCGGGGGTCGCCACACAGAGGCAGGCCATGGCCAGCCACTTCTGTTCATCCCTCGCCTTGAAAGCCACAGGGGGGGCACCACGAGTTGACTGTGACTCGATGGCCCCCCAAAAAAGATTACAGCCTTATTCTGAAGGACTTGTTTCTGTTCGATTGTTAGGCTTCTTATATAGAGTCCTCTGGAGCTGGCCACGTAGAAAGGTTCAGTTCCAATCATCGGAGACTATCA